GGCGCCGTTTTGCACGAGGCGGGGCTGGGCGGTCGCGGTCGCTGCGCGCGCAGCCCCGAGGGCGGGGCTGGTGTCCTTCCTGGGAGAGTGTGGGGCTAGGTGGTTGCGAGGTTAGGTAAGTGGTCGTAGATCCGCGGTTGATTCTCGTGCGTCACGTTGTTCCAGACCTTTTTTCTTACCCAGTTGCACAGCTGTTTGCGCTCGAGCATAACTCTTAAATTCACAGATTTCGATCTTTGTCTTAACGTTCCGCAGTGACTTTAACAAGCGTATTCTCTTTTCTGCCCTTAGACGAGCAGTTATTTCCTTGAAGGCCAAACCAGAGGTTTCGTGAGGTCCCTTGGAAAGAGGCGTGAGAATCTTGTTCTTTGTCCTGGTTCTGTCCCCAGAATTCGCTGAGATCCAGGACAAATCACTTGCCTCTCTGGTCTCAGGTGTCTCTAAAATAAGGCATGGGACCTATTAACGGATCTTAGCCTGGTGACATGATTACAAACTCAGCCCCTAGAGTCAGACTTAGTTGAGGTTTCCCTCATGTGAGCGTTCTGGCAAATCTCAACTAGCCTCAGCTAAGCCTTAGAGTCCTCCCGTGTGCAGTTAAAATAATAGTACCTCTCCCCAGACTGCTTTGAGAATTACAAGTAAAATACAGTTCCTGGTGCTGAAAGAACTCAATAAATGTTCACTACAGTTATTACCTCAAAGTCCTTTCTCCTCCAACTTTCTCACCCCTCTGAGCTTGGCCTGCCTAAGGAACAAGAAATGACAAAACAAAAAACAAAAAAATCAGGATGTTGGAGTGGAAAGAGCACTGGACTTGGTGGTAGGAGAGCTATGTTCAGGGCTCAGCCACGTTAGCCACTTCTCACAGCCTGAGATTTTTCATCTGCACAATGAAAATAATTAAAAAATTTATAGCCCTTTTCACATCCATTATCATTATCAAACCCCATCTGTCCTTCCTAGGCACGTTGTGAGAATCAAGTAAGATAAAAAATTCAGTAGATGTTTTCAAAGGGAAGAGCAAGATATTAATGTCAGAAATGGTTATTTTTCCTCAAAGTACATCAGGCAGTTTATGGTTAATAATACCGGTTGGCTAGCACCATATTAAAACACTGATCCCTAAAAGTGTGTTCAAGACCAAACATTGCTGGATGCCTGGTCAAAAACATACGTTCTCTTTCTTCAACAAATAATTGGGTGCCTAAAATGTGCCTGGCACAGTGTTAAGCTAGGTATAGAAGATACAACGGTGACAGTATAATTCCTGCCCTTGAGCTTACAAGAGCAGATAGAAAACACTTGGTTGCTACAAAAGAGGCAGGTGGTGATGGAGGAAGCGTTGTGACTGGTCCTTATACCTACAGTTGATGGAAATCAGAAGGCTAAGACTCAATCCCATAGTATTCTAGCATCCTGGCTATATTCACAGCTCTGGGTAGAGTTACAGAAAGAAGACAAGATCCCTTCCTTAAGGAGCTTATAGTTTTACCAAGAAGATAAAACATCCTTGAAACATTTAAATTACGAGCCAAAAAGTGCCTTCAACTAGTTTGCTTCCATATATTTGTGGAGCACAAAACCATTCTTACAAAAGGTCAAAATAGCTTGGTTGCCCCAAACCCTGCCTTCACAGACATATGCACACATAAGGAACCTCAGGTAGGAATTATTTTGTCTAGTTTGCTTTGCAGTACTGTTGGAAAAGGCAAAAAGAACATTCAAATGTTCAGATTGGAATCAGCCACATCATAATGCCATCGGTGTTGAAAGCCAAGTAGAAAATAAACTGATCTTCCTGAAATAAGAGTTGGATCTAGGCATTTTCTCAGGTTTCTGAAACCAGCTTAAAATATCCTTTTTAAGATCTCAACTTGGCCTTGACAGGAATTATCTGGCTCACAGTCTCCTAATAGCTGCTTGGAGCAAAAACAAACTCACGGGGCTACAGGCCAAGTACAAAGATTCTTGTAGCTGGTGTTGCAAAACAACCAAAAAAGGAGTGAGGACTTTCATAGCACTTCCTTAAAATTCAGAATCAAGGCCTAGGTTTTAAGCCCAGAATATTGTGAGGTGTCACGTTTCAGTTTCTGGGGCTTCGATACAGAATGTGACTCAGAAAAGTCAAGTTTTCCAATCAAAAGTTATTAAGACTGTTCATATTAAGACTAAAAGTCAAATAATATTTCCTGAGCTATGTGCTCTGTGCCTAGTACTATGGATAGGACCCCAGCCCCCACCACCAGTCCACACCCCAAACCTCATGCCCCTGCCTTCCCTTGAGACATACATTTGTTGGAAAGGTAAGACCTACACATTAGTACAGCTAGAGAACCCTACAATCTCTGCCACTTAGACCCCAAAGTTCATACTGTTAGTAAGCGCAGGTCTAGTTCAGAGAAGGGAGAAATTGTGTATGAGGATGTCTCCTGTTTACATTTTGGCTTCTCGGGTGACCGTTGATTAAAAAAAATTCAAGTTTTCTGTCAAAAAAAGTTGAAATCTCTACCCAGTTCTTCAAGTATCTGGTTTAATGCATTTCGCACTGATCAGTTAGTTTTTTATTTATTGCCAACTCTTGCGTGATCGATTTTGCACTTTAATACATACCAGGAAAAAGTAAAATGTATGTTATAACAACAACCACAGATAAAAAATCCCGTTCTGCATGTCCTCTTTTGTGTTTTTCTGAGTGGTTCTTTCTAAATCCCAGCATGTGCATACAATAGGCAATAAGGCAGTGTTTACTGATGAATGAAAGCAGTCTTCTGGGTCAGCTCTTGGTACCCCCCCGCCCGAAGATGGATAAGTAATGGAGGTAGGAATATAATCATATGGTTTCCCAGACATAATTTTGGTTTGAGTATGTTTAAACCTGGAAAGTTTAACTCCGGAACCTGATTTTTCCACCACCCTACTAGACAGCCTGTGTAATTCATTCTGAACACTTATGTGCCAGCCACTGGAGTCAGCTCTTTCCATGGTTTCCTCTCATTTTTTCCTTCACATCAACCTGTAAGATAGACAGAAAGAGAATATTTAGAAAGCTTAAGTAATGTGCCAGAAATAGATGATGTTTTAAATATGAAGTCTACAAATAATATCTAGAATAATTTAAGGAAGTAACTATTTTAAAAGTATAAAGTGGCTAACACAGTACAGTGTTATGTTAACTAAATCTCTTAAGAATCTTCCCTGCCTCAGATACAGGTTTTGGCCTTGTTTTACAGTTGCTAACCCAAAGATTAGTAAGTCACCTGCTGTGAGTCCCAGTGTTAAGAGCCTGGTCCTGTATGTGTCTCTTCTAGGACATCCGATGCTCTGCATTAAGAAGTTCTCACCTGCTTGCCCAGGGTTCCAGGCCACGGTCATAGTTTTCCTGTCTGGCCTCCGGCACACTTTGCTCTATTCTCACCTCCCAGTTGGAGACTTCATTGCTCATTAGCCATTTCTATCTTTGACTAAATTTTCCAGCCATTTCCTGGAACCATTTCTCAGCTTCCACCCTGTGTCTGTCAGTCAAGACTCATTTGTTTGTGAGAAACATAAATGCAACACAATCGGACTCAGGCCAAAAAAAAAGGAAGTAATTGCCTCACATAACAGCAAAATCCAAGGGTGGTAACTGTAGGTGTGTCTGGATCAAAGAACTCTCAAGGTGTCATCAGATGTTTCTGTCTCCCATCTCCCCACTTCGCATCCCCGGCCGCACACGCAGGCCTTACGTGTGCAGTAGAACTTGGGATGCCTGGTGGATACACTACAGCTCAGCACCCCAGTGGAGAAAGAATGCCTCCTCCCTAGTTGTTTCAGCAGGAGTCCCAGAACTATATCCCACTGATCTAGCTTAGGTCCTGTGCCCATCCGTGAACCAAATACTATTGAAAAGAGCAAGTGATATTCTGATTAGCCAGGTTTAGGCCCCTGCCCAACCTCGACCCCCATCCAAAGCATTAAGACAAGAGTGAGCGGGGTTCCCCTGGGAAGACTCAAGGCGCTTTTATCAGAAAAAAAAGAATGGACGCTGCATGGATAAAAACATATGTCCTGTGTGGCCACATCCCACAAGCTCTGGTCTCTCCTTGGCTTAGGGTAAGCACAAAAACCCTCAGGGTGACACCCTTTTGGATCAGTTTGGTCCTGGGCTGTGTCCCAGGGAGTAGGGTACAGACTATGGAAAGAGTGTTACAGATTGGGAGCATTTAAACTCATGTCAGCTCATTCCCAGTTCGTAACACACCTAACATGATTAGCTTTCTGATACTCAAAATTTCAATTTGCATGGCTTATAAATATTTGAATAAAATGTCAGACCAATGATATCAGTTTATTTCTGAAAAGAATAACTTTTCAATATGTAGTCAGATACCTGAAAAGATGGGTAATTACATAATGATATGTTCAACTAGACTACCGTTTTCAAAAGACTTTTGAGTATAGTCAATTTTTCTAAATCAGGTAAAATATCCTTCTGTAATGGCATTTAACCAACCTTTTATCGAGGAGAAAATGGAAACATATGGAGATAAAATAA